CCAGAGGGTGCAAGGCAGGTGGATGCCCCTGCAAGGGAGTGCAGGGCTGTTTCCTGAGAATGGTGGCAGGAGTGCCCAGTGAGGAGGCATTGAGTGGGGGCTCTTAGCATTGAGACTTGATGCTTTAAGGACTGGCTTTGGCTCTTAAGGTAGACTGTAGGCTGTATGCACAGCCTACCTTTCATGGGCAGTATGGAGAGATTGAGCCCCACATACCATCTCTTCTCTCTCTCTCTTTCCTCCCCCCACCCCTTTTTAAAACTGCATTGAAGCATATGGATTAAAAAAAATTTTTTTTAAAGATTTTATTTATTTGAGAGAGAGAAAGAGAGAGAGCATGAGAGGGGGAAGGGCAGAAGGAGAAGCAGACCCGCTGCTGAGCAGGGATTCAGGGCTTGATCCCAGAACTCCAGGATCATGACATGAGCTGAAGGCAGTAGCTCAACCAACTGAGCCACCCAGGCGCCCCTAAAAAAATAATTTTTAGACAGTTTGGAATAGGCCAAATTTACATGCAAGTTGGAATTAATAGTACAGAGAATTTTTTGTGGAACAATTTGAGAGCTAATGTTAACTTAATGTCCCATCACCCTGAATACTTTGAGTGTATTTCTTACATGCAATGACATTTTCTTACCTAACCATTGTACAACCAGCAAAACCAGGAAATTAATATTGCTACCTTACCTCCTAATTCTGAAATTCCATTCAAGTTTGCCAGTTGTCCCAGTGATGTTTTTTGTAGCAAAATGATCTAGTTCAGAATGTGCATTGCATTTAGTTATCGAGCCCCTTTAATCTCCTTTAGATTTTGCTCAGTAAAAGTTTTTTGACATTCATGACCTTGATACTTCTGAAGATTATAGGCTTGTTATTATGTAGACTGTCCCTTAATTAGGGTTTGTTGGATATTTTCTCATGATTAGAGTTAGATTATGCATCTTTAACAGAAATATCACAGAAATGATGCTTTCTTCTCATGGCCTCCTATCATGTGGTGCATGATTTTGATTTTTCCCATTGTGTTCATTTTGATCACTTGATTAAGGTGATGTCTGCCAGGCTTCTCCATTGTATACTTCCTGTTACAGTTAATAAGCATTCTGTGGGGAGATAGTTTGAAATACGTGAATATCCCTCACCAGACTTTAATTTATTAATTAGTTAATTAATTTGTGTATTTCAGATTCATGGTTTCCTTTTTTATTCAATGCAGTGTAATCTGTTAATATCATTATTTACTGCCAGTGGGAGCCCCTTCAAACTGTCTTCTGCATCCTTTTGATTAATAATTCCCATCATTCTTTTAGCGTTTCCTTGCTTTCTGGCCCCAAAACAAGATGTTCTAGATTCATCTTGTACTTTCCCTGCCATAGTTGCAGAATTAGCCATTTCTCTGAAGAGTTCTGGTTCTTCCACTGAAGAATGTTATTTAGAAGGCAACGGGTGCTAGGTGTGCTTAGTGCTGCTGGAGTGTTGCTCTGCTTCTTGACCCTTCAGTAGAGCTAGAAAACAGATGTGTGTGTGTGTGTGTGTGTGTGTGTGTGTGTGTGTCCATATTCACAGTTATGTCTAGCTTATTTATTTATTTATTAAAAAAAAGATTTTATTTATTTATTTGACAGAGAGAGACACAGTGAGAGAGGGAACATAAGCAGGGGGAGTAGGAGAGGGAGAAGCAGGCTTCTTGCTGAGCAGGGAGCCTGATGTGGGGCTTGATCCCAGGACCCTGGGATCATGACCTGAGCCAAAGGCAGATGCTTAATGACTGAGCCACCAAGGTGCCCATGTCTAGCTTATTTTTATATATTATATATCAGAAACCATGAGTTCACACTGTTTCCTCCAATTTCAGTTTCACTCCATGTATTTTTTTTCTTCATTCCATATTTTAATTCCATCCTGTAACAGTGAGAAACCTGGTTCTCATTACCCTTAATATATGCCCTTTGATCAATCCCTCTGTATGTAACCAATCTCCCATTTGTTACCATTGCTCCTTCCCCATCTTGAATGCCTCTTTTACCTTGCCTGTGACTCCCTACATCAGGCTTGCTCCCCTCTTCCCTATACCCTCTACACCCCACATGGGCTCTGACATGCTGTGTCACACCTTCTTGCCTCTATACAGATGCCTTACTTACTCTGCTTGGGCTCTGATACCCTCTACCCCCATGGCCAGACTCGTCTGCTCCCCCCATTTCAACTTGTAGATACTATGTTCCTCTGCCACAACTAATGACTCTAAAGCCATAAGAATAAATTTTTTCAGGAAGGGAAGAGGAAGAGCTGCCCTCTGTTTCTTGACTTGAGTTGAACTTGATTTTTAGAAGTAGAGGAAGTGTGGAATCCAGTGATTACTGACATGTGGAGGATTGGTCTCCTACTATTGTCTATTCTCAAGATTTCCTGTAAGAGAAGCTTTTTTTTTTTTTTTTAAAGATTTTATTTATTTATTTGACAGACAGAGATCACAAGTAGGCAGAGAGGCAGGCAGAGAGAGAGGAGGAAGCAGGCTCCCCACTGAGAGAGCCCGATGCGGGGCTCGATCCCAGGACCCTGGGATCATGACCTGAGCCGAAGGCAGAGGCTTTAACCCACTGAGCCACTCAGGCGCCCCAAGAGAAGCTTTTTGATGTGGGTGAAATCAGTTGAGAAAGCAAGGCCTGCAGGCAAGAGGACTCCTGGTCATTAATGTGTCATTCATGAAAAGGGATAGCACACATATAGTATGCCGTATGGGAGGCCTGGAGCATTCTGGGCATGCAGGAGATTTGGCATTAATTGGATATATAGGCTTCAAGTAAGGGGGGGGGTGTCCAGGCTTGGCCAGGCAGTAGTAGTATAGAATAGTAGTAATAGTAATAATAGTAAGCTATATTGAGCCCCTATGTGCCCAACACTGCTCTTAATGCTTTACATGTGTCCTCTCATTTCATTCTCACTTATGGAATAAGAACTATTGTTGTCATTTTACAGGTGAAGGATGGAAGAACAGAGCTTGGCCAAAGGTGCCATGGCAAATGAGTGGCTCAGCCAGGATGCAAACCTGGAAGGCCTCCTTAATCATGATGCTTAATTGCCGGTAGTGTTTGGCAGATGGGGTCTGGTTGACTACATATACTATATACACTCGCTGTGAATATTGACAAATATTAGGACTCTCAAAAGTCCTTATCCATACAGCCTGACTTCAAGGAGTTAGAGGAGCATTCTAAGGCCCTGAGGGACTTTGGGTCCAAACTGTAATGCATAATCTGAACAGAGTGGCTCTCCCATCTCAGCAAGGCTTCCAGTACTGTTCAAGGCAGGGGGACGTGTGTGTGTGTGTGGGGGGTGATGTGAAGTTATTTTGGATTCTGGTTTTCAGAGGGATGTTGGCCCCTTTGCCTTTCCAAGGGATTCCATAGTGAAATCCAAGCCAGCCTTTGTCTACCCTAAGCTGAAGAGTTGGGGCTGCGTTTTTGGCAATGCAGTAAAGCCATGGTGAAAGCAAGCACTGTGCTCTGTAGGATCCATGAAAAACTTCAAATACTTTTCAGTCTTAGCACTTCTGAATCCCCATGGAATCTCACTACGGGGATGGGGAAATCGAGGACCCACATGTGTCCTAGTAAATATGCAGACAAGTTATTGTAGGTCATTCAGTGCGTCAGGGAAGAGCCAGAAGGAAAAGTGATACTTGGCATTGTATGCGTCCATTCAGGTAGTGGTCACCTCATTGCCTCCGAGTGTGTCCTGGACTTCACAGGCTGCTACCCTCCTCAGCCCTGCAGGAAGGAGCCAGTGCCCATCTGCCGCCTTTCAGAGGCAAGCTTTGGGCTCTATTAGAACGGGGCTTCGGAAGGCATAAACTATGGCCATTTCTGCATTGAGCAGTGAGATATCTCTTTTCACTTTGAGGATTAAAGCTGAGGGAATTTGAATATTGGTGTAAGATGGGTAAAAAAAAAACAAAAAACCAAAATTTCTTTGTTCCTTTTTTGTTTTTTGGTTTTTTTTTAAGGAAGCCTGAGTTATTTGTGAATAAAACTTAGGTTTTGGTGTTTAACTTTTCTTAGCCCTCTAAAGAGCAGACATTCTGCAAATTTAAAGGAAAAACTTGAAAAGTGATTTGGATTTTTTTTTTTTTTTTTGCACATGTTCACTCAGAAAACTTTACTAGACCTTTTTTTCTTTTTCTTTTTTTTTCTTTAAGCAATGCTCCCATTACTGCCACATCTGGGTTTTCTCTTTTTCTTCCCTATTTAAAAAAAGTCCCGCAGTCATTTAGGGTCTCTAGTAGAGAGTGAGTCTAAAGGCAGCAAACGGGAAGGGAAGGCCTGAGGCTGTTGCCAGCTGTGCTCTCCAGGCGTCATTCATTCCCCCAGGGTGCTACTTACTGGTATGGGGGCTGGGGAATCACCAGCACATCAGGAGCAAGCTCCCCGGCTGGGCTGCGTTCCATTTCACCTTGGGAGACCAGAGGGAGGGAATGTGGAGGTGTGCGATATGGACTGGAAACCCAGGGGCAAATGGCTTGTCATGAGCTGAGGAGAGAATATTTGGCATTTTCCACTGTTTGAGGCTCCTTAGCTCCTAGGATGGATTGTGTGGCTTTGTCACCTCATGTTACTTTGGGAACTTTAGCTTTACATTAACTTTTGCCACCCGAGAAATGACCACAGAATTTTTCTCTCTCTCTTTTGAACTTTAGAGCTCCGTTTAAAGATGAAGGCCAGCGTGGCAGATTGTTCTGAGGATGGTCTTGGAGACTCAGAGCTGTCATAATGCTGCGGGGGCCAGTATTAGGGTCTTGAACTGCAGTAACGAATACTGTTGATTTCGAAAAGGGGTCCGGAAACACTGGGGAGTGGTTCATGTTGTGGGACTATTCCTGAAGACCAGATGGAACAGGGCCACCGTGGGAGGGGAGTAACCCAGGCTCTTTGTTCTTTTTTTTTTTTTTTTTCTTTTCTTTTTCTTTCTTTTTTTTTTTTTTTAAACTTTCCTCCCCTAAGTTTTAGATGCTTCTGGATGTTCAATGCTAGCACCTTTACAGACTGGAGCAGCTCGATTTTCTTCATATTTACTTTCAAGAGCAAGAAAAGTGCTGGGCTCCCACTTATTTTCTCCCTGTGGTGTCCCGGAGTTCTGTTCCATATCCACCAGAAAACTGGCGGCCCACGGCTTTGGCGCATCCATGGCGGCAATGGTGCCCTTCCCTCCCCAGAGGTATCACTACTTTTTAGTGCTGGACTTTGAGGCCACGTGCGACAAGCCACAGATTCATCCTCAGGTAACTGTTGCATCATTGCTTCAGAAAAGGGGGGGGCGGGCAAGGAGGGAGGGAAGTTAGTCTTGCTTTCTGGGTTCCAGAGGAACTTTCTCATGTCTTCCTGGCTTCTAGCTACTCATCGGGAATTCCTGCCTAGGAAGCTGGACTTGGTTCAGGCGTGCTTTAGGGTAAGGTAGACCTGACAAGTCTCTGGAGAGAATTGGGCATATTGTTTTCTCTCTGGTCTCGGCCTTTGGAAATCGAAATATTTCCTAATGTCCCATCCTTCCTCTCTCCTTTCCCTTCCCTCCTTCCTTCTCCTGCTATTGCTGCATGTTATTTTGAGGAATATTGTGGAAGTCAGCCCCAAAGATGGCACCCAGTGACCCTTGCCTCCTGCGATTCCTAACCCTTGGTAGTTTTTCTCCCACACTGAATTGGGCTAGCCTTGTATAACCAGTAGACTAGAGAGGAAAAGCCATAGTGGGCTTTCTGAGGCTGAGTCATAAAAAGCGCTGCGGTTTGCCTTGCTCTTTTGGATCACTTGCTCTGGATCACTTGCCACCATGCATCGAGGGCTCTCAAAGCGCCTGGGGAGAGGCATGCATCTATAGGAACCGAGTTTCTTAGCTAAAAACCAGTACCAGTGCCATTTATGTTTCTTGGTGCTATCTCGGAAGTGAATCTGACTTCAACCTCAGGAGAGACCCTGAGCCAGGCTGGTCCACTGAGCCACTCCTTCCTGGCTGGCAAAAACTGTGAGTTAAGAAGTGATTATTGACGTTTTAAACCACTAAGTTTGGGGATGATGTGTTTTGCAGCATTCGAGAACCTGAAAAAGTACAACTGTTGGTTTGTTGGAAAGGAAAATGTTTTTGCTTGCTTTTTTTCCTGTCATCAACTGAGTTCAGAGACCTTTTACCTTTTAAGGTAGTGCTACTAGGAGGTTTGGATTAGCACAGAGGCACCTGTGCTTAGAGATATTGGCATGCTTGATGTCTCTTTAGGGGGAACGATTGGGGGCTGATGTGGCAGTTCATTGTGCTGTGGGGGCCTTTAGTATGCCCGGCTCTAGGACTGTTACTCTTCCCTGTGGGCCTGGGTTATTAGGAGTGTAATTTTGGGATGTGTAGACATGTTAGTCTGGAGCAGCATTCAGTGGTAGGGAGGAGGGGGCAAGGGGGGGGATGGTAGCATCAGGCACTTGGGAGACAGGGAGGAGTGGGGTCCATTCAAAGATGAACTGGGTTCATTTCTCATGGTTGTTTTTTTTTCCCATGAAGAGGTTCTGTCTTTAGAATAGTAGATTATTTTCCATAAAGCAGATGCCACCACCCTTTTACCTTCCTCCTTCTCTCTTTTCCTGTTCTCCCTTCAAGTAGTGGTCTGTCTTTGGGAGCATTGGAATTAGGCCTGTGGAGGTTTGGGAAGACAGGAGCAAGATGAGGAGAAGGTCCCGAGGGGAGGAATTTTGCATAAAAGGAATATAGCTTGGGTGCTGCCTGAGCCACACTTACTTTCTCAGCCTCTTGCTCCTGCCCATTCTCTAGAGTCTTCTCTGCCTCCCCAAACTATTGGAGATTCTTTGCTGGCTGTTTCTGGGTGGTGGGTGGGAATTTTGGTTACGTAGATTCTCCCAGCTTAGGAATCAAGGATCCAAATCATCACACACCATATTATTTCCCTTACTGATGTAGATTTCAGTTATTGAGTAAGCCCTAGTGGACATGAGTCTAAGATCCAACACATCCCGATTGCCTATGATTCATCCCTCTTCTCAACTCTTAATCACTTGGCACCTCCTTTGTGGCATTTTCTACATTCTGCTTTCTGGCACATGCTTGTATATGCTTATTTCTGAACTTTTCAATTAGATTGTAAGCTCAGATAATTTTGTAGCTCTGTTCTCTTGTCCTACAGAGAGTCCCATCAATGTTGCTGAAGGTGAAGCTTGATTCATGTCTCAATTCGGTCTGTCAGGATCACCTTCCATCTCTCTTTGAAGGGCATTGTTCTTTTTAGTTATTTATTGCAATGCTAAAGATGTAATGCAATACAGATTTAAATCACTCGTATCACCAACTTCCCACCCAGACTTAGGCACCAAGGCCTTCCTGACCTAGGCGGAGGTAGGACTTCTTGCCGTTTACCAGGTTCTGGGCCTGATTGAAGATTATCTCCAGAATCAATGAACCCTGATGATGTGATTCCAAGGGCACTTAAAGAATTGGCTGCCCTAGTTCATTACTAGAAAGCATTAGTTGTTGCTTTAGAGAACTCAGGAAGAAGCATTCGCTATCTTGCTTATCTTTAGAAGGGGGAATACGAATGATCTTGGAAATTATAGACCCGTTAGTTTACTGTGATTCCAGAGAAGATACTTGACCTGATCGTCAGATAATCAATCAGCAAACAGCTAGAAGAGCATAGGGTACTGAGTAATAACTTACATGGGTTTGCGAAGAAGAGCAAATCCTGTCAGATCAATCTAACTTCTTGCTGTGACACAGTGATGGATTTGAGTGGATCTGGGGTAAGTGATAAATGTAATGCATCTCTACTTCATTAAGCCTCCACAATGCTGTGATCAACAGGTGGGAAGGTGAGTTGGGGCCAGGCAGCTCTTTTGGACTACCCATTGGATCATTCTCAGGAGAAGGATGGGTAGCTCAGGAGTGATTTGAGAGTTGTTTGTGGCAACTTAAAGCCTATCTCTCTTTGGAAAAAAAAACATCTTCTCTAAAGTTTGCAAGTAGCAGGATCCTGACAGGATTCTGAGGAATCTTGAAGATGGTTTGGAGAATTTCTCAGTCCCACATAGGCTAGCGTCCTTCCACTGAGGTTATCATAGTCATGTTGTCATTAGAGCCTCTGGGCTGTGTAGGTCTTCCAGTCAGCAGGGGCAGTGGAGAAATTGGAAAAGCTCAGATTAAGAGGGGGAAAAAATCATTAGGGTACAAAAATAGGACTTAGAAGAGAAGAGAAATTGAATATGGTTTTAGTGACTTATTTCTTCACATGGGAGGTGTTCCAAGGAGTATACTAATAACTTGCTCTTCATTTTAATAAGGATAAAAAAAGAAATGAATTTAAATGGAAACAGATTGAGATTTGGGATGAGAATGAACGTTTAGAAGAGACTGGAAAAAATGGGCTGCTAGCTGAATCCAGCCCTCTCTATTGCCCTCTCAGAATAGCTTAATGGCTGTCCACTCGACAGAGATGCTTTATAGGCAAGGTCTCTGTGCCTCCTGGGGACGAGCTTGGAACTGTGAATCAGCCTTCTTCCTCCCTGGCTCCCAGTTGCTTTGAATACTCAAGGCATCTACACAGTACATTTCCAGTCCTTATGAGAGTGTGCCGCTACCCCTTGGGGGTGGGGTGTAGGAGGGAGAAACAAGTTTGGGTCCAGGATCTATCTGAATGCTTGTTACGGGGCTCATTTTTCTGATCCATCTTTGGTCTTCAGAAGTTCCTGACTCAGCATATTGAGACTTTCTTAAGGAATGGTACCGTGAAAACGAACACGTATAAGCTCTGTTGTACTTGGGTGAGTAACAGTATTGGTTATAAATGTGGTAAAATACCTGGTACTTTCCGTTTGTCATCATTTTTGCTGTTTATTTTTGTACTTTGTTCAGCTAGGTGTAGCTGGAGTGGTTGGTTTACCAGTGATAGGCTTCACTTTTCTGGGTTTTGCACTCATTTTGATTTACATTTTAATTCAGATTAACATGGTAGATACTGGCAGAATATGAGACTTTCACATTTGAAAACATTTTTCCGCTTAAATGTTAATTTAGATGGTTTAAATTGCTTTAGAGACTCTAAGTTTGAGGAATAGGATTCCTTTCTTACTTTAGGAGTTGTTTCCTGATAGGGAAGTAGGTTTTTATCTGGTTTAGGAGAATTCTGACTCCTTTCTCCTGGTTAGCAGGAATTCATGTGCTCATTTTAGTGTGGATGTGCATCGAATAGTGGTGGTTGTGACCCTGAGGCCCAGGGAGCAGCCTGAAAGCTTTGGTGGGATCTTTAATTGTCCATCTTTAACCTGGGGGCAAGTTCTCTCACCACCTCACTGTTTAGAAAGGAACAAAGCAAATGTGAGGACAGTGAGGTGTAGGCCTTAGCGCAGAGGAGAAGGAAATAAAACGTCACCTATCCGAATGGCCAGGGAGAGGGCCGCCCTGCTCTCCTTGTCTGTGGAGCAAAGTCCTGGCCACTGCCTCCCGTCCCTCCCTGAGTTCCCTCTGGCCGTCCATCAGGCTCCTGGGTATGGTCTTTTTCTCACTGCTCTGCAGCAGCCCTGTGACTGTTTTCCTTCTCATCTGTATTCAAGTGCCCATAACTTTGGAGAAAAATGACCTTTGGGGTTGAGGTTTTCTAGTGTTTGTCCACAGGGGCTTTTCTTTCTTTCTTCTTTTTTAAAGGAAACCTTGAAGAAACTCCATCTGCATTTTGAGTTAGAACTATGAGTAAAGGGGTTTCTCTTTTATAGAAGATTGTCCAGATGCTGGGTTATTTTGGGAGGGTAGGTGGAGGAAGGTTAATGGTGACAGGAGAAGGAATAATACGGAAGAGAGGCATTTGGAGGATTTCAGTATGACTTAGAACTGGTATATCATTATTAGTCTTCTGTGAGAAAGACATTTTGGGAAACTTTACAGGAAATTGTTAAGCTCCCTACAAATCAAACTGTGTCAATTCCCTTCTCCATTCAGGGCTAAAAAGCAGGATCCCCCAATCCTTTCCCCCTGCTCCCAACCAGTGTGCACACACATACTATCTTCCTATGTAGTCACCTTTCCTTCTCCCTGCTCTTGGTTTCTGCACCCTCCAAGTGGACGGAAAGGCAGTTCTCTAGAGAAAGAACCCACCCGTCCTGCCCCATTCACTTGTCCCAATCCCAGCTCCTTCAAGTAGGAGGGGTGCAGCCAGGCTTTCTATTGGGAGGGCCCAATTGTTGGGTTGTGGGCCATCCGCCTGTGGCCCCAGTCAGCCTGCGCTTTTTTTCTCTACAG